TCCCGCCTCTATTTTAAACTGAATAGTGCTTGTGGTTGTTTTAACTTCATTAAAGGAATATCTTTAATTAAACAACCAGGATAATGTACACACACATATGTATATACAAATATATAATTATACATATACACTTTATATATAACATTTTATATTTAATAAGTTTATATACAATATATGCAAGTGTATATCTCAATAAGATGAACACTTCTGAAGAGTACACACAACGTGATTCGGTTGTAGATTGTACATACATATAAACATGTAAATATATTAACAAATGTGCCAGCTTATAATAGTGGACATCTGTCAACAAATTTGGAAGAGAATTTTTGTAGCAGTTAAACAACTTAACAAACTCTGAGTTATAACAGTGTTCTTAAACATTCATATTTTCAACCTGGCAAGCTTCAGAACAGGTAGATAAATTCAGTGAATTTTTAGCTGAATGCTGAATCCAACTGATTTCATAAGTATATATCATAAGTAACTTTCAATATATGTGCTGATACATGAGGATGACAGACAAGCATCATTCAAATGCAGGTTGATTTACAACAAATTAATAAATCCAATAATTGATTGTATCTGTTATGAATTAACACAGATTTCCTTGCAGCATCCTCATGTCCCGACACTCGAGGCCCATGCTCGCGACGCCAGAGTAAGAACCAATGTTTTATCGTTATGTTTGGGAGTATCACTAACTGGTGCAATAACAATGATAATGGTAATGAAGATAATAATACTGTTTTTAATATCACTAACAATGGCAATGCTACAACATAAATGCGTGTGGCTAAGTAGTGTTCCATGTATCTTGAGTTTACGCTTGTTCGAAAAAGAATATTGTCATTGTTATTACTATTGCTCTTTTTCATTTACAATCAATGCCTTTTGATGTATAGTGATTATTACAACGCAACTATGGTTATTAAACTGCAGCTGACCAAACTTTGATTTATTGAACTACAGCTCACCAACTCATAAACTACGGCTGTCCCGGATTTCGCAGGTGAAGTTCAGATAACCCATTGGACAAATGACCTAATATTGCAATATGGAACTAAAGCACACTCCAAATTGGCATGGGTCAATTGTGGTTTGTTTCCAATTTCCAAACATTGCAATCATGAGAAATATTCTATCTAATCAATATATACATACATGTATATATATAAACATGTGTATGTAGTCATAAATACATACATTTATACAGGAATATATATTTCGTGTATAGTATATAGATATGGCGTGGGTATATATACATGTGTACATATACATGTGTGACTATTAAATATATATATATATATATATATATATATATATATATATATACGTATATATTTCTTCTATGTGTACATGAGGAATGTGTAAAAAGCTTGATTTAGTTTGAAACTATTAAACAATGAAATCGTAGTAAACAGGGACGTACACAACGGCTTTTAATCCATTAATAAGTTTGTGGTAATAATTATTGTCTTTTTTTCCATTTAATCATAACATTTAGTCCATGAGATTTCCCAGAGATTGAATAATTTAGTTTCTCATTTTAAGTCTATGATTATAGTTTTATGAATATGCACACGCATTCATGTTATACTTATATATGCATATATGTACACAATATACACTTGCATATAGACAAACTCCTACGTTTATGTATATCTATACTTTTTTCAAAATATATATGAATAAGTATGCATGTGTGTGTAGTAATGCTCTTTCCATTCATCCATTAGCTAAAATTACCTGCAATGCTTTAGTAATTCTCTGCACCGAATTCCGATTCCTCCGGAGGTTAGTCATCCTGCAAGTCCAAGGACGAAGCTTCCTAATAAAAGAGGCGCCACCATTTTTCCAGACACATTCGACCACTCGCAGTCGCAGACACAATAAGGATGAAGTTCTTGGTAAGTAATTCCTCTTTACTTAAAGCTAGATCTATCTATTCGTTTTCAAGTATCAAATGCAGAGATTTTACCAGTAATTAAGATATTCAAAACAATTACTTAACTTGAAGTTGACATAAATTTCTAGTTTTATTCCAATACATTTATACTTCACCGCTTATTTGTAACAGACGGTAGTGCTTCTGGCGGCCTTTGCTTGCGCTTCTCCTGTCGAGAAGCGAGAGGCGGACGCCGACCCTAGCTTCCCCATCTACGGTCATGGTTATGGCTACCCTGCCTACTACCGAGGCTACGGCTACCCACACAGTTATGGCCTCCGCCTTCACAAGAGGTCTGCTGATCCCGAACCTGAAGCCGATGCAGAGCCTTCCTACTTGTACAATCACCACCGCCCCTACTCTGTAGGCCATAGCTACGTTCGCCCTTACACCTACGGCCACTCCCACGTCCTCCACAAGAGGTCGGCCGAACCAGAAGCTGAGGCCTCTGTTGTTTACCCGCACACTTACTCCTATGCCCACGCCACTCCTTACGTCCCCTACGGCAATCCCTACAGCTACGGCTATGGCTACGGCAGGGGATATGGATATTAACTCGTTATCAGCATGGATCTCGAGTTCGTTCTTGGGTCACGTCATACCAAAATGTAATACATCAAATAAAGAATCAGAATTTTCCCCGCCTTTATTTGAAACTGGATAATGCTTGTGATTATTTTTCTCTCAACTTTATTCCAGGATAATTTCCAATCAAACAACCAAGAAAATGTGTACACATATGTAGTACATATACAGTATATACACATATAAGTAATTGTATATGATATATATTCATACACATTTAGAAGTTTATGTATAAGTGTATAACTCAATAAGATAAACACTTATCTGACTTATTAACTTACGTGCCATCTTGTAATAAAGAACGTCTACAAATATGAAAGAGTATTACTGTAGTAGTTACACTAACAGTTTAACAAATTATGGGGTACAACAGTGTTCACGGTTTTTTCGGCCCTAAATATTCATATTTTTCAACATGGTGAGCCTCAGAACAGGAGAAAAAAAATTCTTTATCTAAATATTCATACATTTATCCAATTTATTTCACTAATCTTAACTTTAACTGTATCATAAGTAACTTTCAATATGCGCATGCTGATACAAGAGGATAACAGATATGAATCGTTGAAATGTAGTTTAATTCATAACAAATGATTTGATTGTAACTGTTATGAAGTAGGAGAGACTTCCTTGTAGCATTCTCATCCCCCGACCCACGAGGATCATACTCGCGACCCCGGAGTTAAGACCACTGTTATGCTTGGGAGTATCACCATGATGATAACAGCAATAACACTGCTATCATCACTAATGGCAATGATGGCAATTATAACAATGGTAAAACAACAGATAATGGATACAGTTGAAAAGGCAAAGATTAAAACAAAAAGCTTTCAGCAACACCTGTCCCATCATAAAAGCATATGGCCAACAATGCCATGTATCTCGTGTTCGAAAAAAATATATATATTATTGTCATTACTATTCCTTTTTTTTTCATTACCATACAGGGCCAATGGATCTATAGTGATCAATACAACGCAACTATGTTTTATTAAACTGTAGCTGACCAAACTTTCTTTTATTGAACTACAGCTGACTGATAGATAAACTACTGCTGCCCCAGTTTTCGCTTAGTGAACTTCAGATAACCTGAAAATGGTACATTGAACAACAAAGGAACTAACATTGCAATGCGAAAGTAAAGCACAATCAAAATTGGCATGGATCAGTTGTAGTTGATTTCCAGTATACAAAACAATCATAAGAATATTTTACCTAATCAGTATGTATAAATACAAATAATGTACATATATACATACATGAATGTGTATCAATATATATATATATTTCAGTATGTATATAATGTAGTATATAGACACACGGTTTAAATATAGAATGTGTATATATATACATATATAGACATATTTATTGAAAATATATGTTTGTATATATATAAATGATTATGTTAAGTCGTAGTGAAGAACGGATTTTATTCCATTAATAACTTTGTGGTAATAATTGTCCTTTTTCCATTTAATTATATTCTTTAATCCAGAAGTTTCCTCATTACTTGAATATTTTAGCTTATCATTTCAAGTCTTTGATTATACAGTTTTATAAATATGCACAAACATCCATCATAATTTTTATATGCATATATGTACACAATATACAAGTGTACATACGCAACTCCTGCATATATATATTATATATATACATATATATTTTAGGAATATATGTTACAAGTATGCTTCTTCCATTCATCCAGCAGCTAAAATTACCTGCAATGCTTTAGTAATTCTTTGCACCGAATTCCGATTCCTCCGGAGGTTAGTCAGCCCGCAAGTCCAAGGACGAAGGTTCCAAATAAAAGAAGCGGTGCATTTTTCCAGACACATTCGAATACTCGCAGTCGCAGACGCAAGAATGAAGTTCTTGGTTAGTCATTTCTGTCCACCAAAAGTTGGATTTGTTTATTTAGTTTTCAAGCATCAATACATATATTTTACCAGTAATTAGGTATTCAAAAAAAATACTTAATTTGGAATTGAAATGTATTGCTAGTTTTATTTTAGCTCAGTTATAGTTCACGATTTATTTATAACAGGCGATAGTGCTTCTGGCAGCCTTTGCTTGCGCTTCTGTCGAGAAGCGAGAGGCGGACGCCGACCCTAGCTTCCCCATCTACGGTCATGGTTATGGCTACCCTGCCTATTACCGAGGCTACGGCTACCCACACAGTTATGGCCTCCGCCTTCACAAGAGGTCTGCTGATCCCGAACCTGAAGCTGATGCTGATCCTTCCTACTTGCATAGGCACCACCGCCCCTACTCTGTAGGCCATAGCTACGTTCGCCCTTACACCTACGGCCACTCCCACGTCCTCCACAAGAGGTCGGCCGAACCAGAAGCTGAGGCCTCCGTTGTTTACCCACACACTTACTCCTATGCCCACGCCACTCCTTACGTCCCCTACGGCTATCCCTACCGCTACAGCTATGGCTACGGCAGAGGATATGGATAT